AGCTTATGGTTCATCCAAGAGAGAACTACAAAACATAGAAACAAGGTGCTGAGACTGTGAGCGAGGGAAGTTATAATGAGTGCCCATGGAACTGAACTGGGTAAGGGGGAAGTGATGACACAGAGGAAATGGGGAGCAGTGAAAACATGGCAGGGTCCCAGCAGGACCACAGGGACTGATGGAACGCAAAAGAGAGTGAGCTGGTAAGACAGGAGGTGGTGGGCCGAGTGGGGGCTGTTGAAACGGAGACTGTTACCAGCACTGACAAGGTTTCAGCTTATGATCACGGGAGGAAATGGCTGAGACAGGGTGGAAGGCCAGATCACTGGTGGAGAGGAGGCCAAGGAAATGAGAGGTCAGGATATTTAAAGTACTTCTGAGTATCTGAAATCATCCAAGGAAGGAATGTTGGAGAAAAGTGACAGACATAACAGGAATGGGTAGAGCACAGCATGTTGTGACAATGTGAAATTCAAACTGGATGTTTCTTAAGGAGGATGAAAGGAGAATGAGCTGAACGTAGCAGTGAAAAACAAGAAAGTTGACTATCCCACCTTTAGAGGCCCAAATGGCAAAAAAGATTTGAGAATCAAAATGGCCGCCATTCACCAAGCCTGCAGAGAAAGCAGCAGCCACGAGAGTCAGGCTGCGGTCAGTGCCAGAAGGCCAACTTTTACAGAAGAGACTGAGGATATAAAAGAAACCGGAGGGGCGCCTGGGTGGCTCAGTCAGTTAAGCGTCTGCCTTCAGCTCAGGTCATGATCCCAAGGTCCTGGGACCAAGCCTCCCATTGGGCTCCCTGCTCACTGGGGAGCCTGCTTCTCCCTCTCCCTCTGCCTGTCGCTCTGCCTACTTGTGCGCTCTTTCTGTCAAATAAATAAAATCCTAAAACAAACAAACAAAAAACCCAACAAGGTGGGGTGCCTGGGTGGCTCAGTCAGTTGGGCAACTGACTCTTGATTTTGGTCATAATCTCCGGGTCATGAGATTGAGTCCCATGACTCTGGGCTCAGTGGGGAGTCTGCTGAAGATTCTCTCTCTCCCCCCGCCCCCACTCACGCACGTGCACACACACGCTCTCTCTCAAATAAACAAATCTAAAAAACAACAACAAGCTACCACACACACTTATTAGAATGGCTAAAATCCAAACACTGGCAACATCAAATGCTGGTGAGGATATGGAGCAACAAGAAAGAACATTCATTCATTGCTAATGGGAAAGCAAAACAGTACAGCCATTTTGGAAAACAGTTTGGAACTTCCTTTCAAAACTAAATATGCTCTTACCATATGATGCAGCAATTATGCTTCTTGCTATTTACCCAAATGATCTGAAAACATGTCCACACAAAAAGCTGCAAATGAACATAGCAGCTTTATATATAACTGCCAATATTTTAAGGCAACCAAAATATCCTTTGATATGTAAATGGATAAACAAACTGTGCTATGGACTGAATTGTGTCCCCCCAAATTTATATGTTGAAGCCATACCCCCCAGTGTGACTGTAGCCAGAGACAGGGTGGTCTTTAGGAGGTAATCAAGATTAAATGACAATTTAAGAGCGGGGCCCTAATCTGATAGGACCGTGGCCTTACAGGCAGAGGGAGAGAGAGAGCCTTCCCCACCCCCTCCTCCTCTCCACCTCTCTCTCCCTTCACTCTTCTCCCTCTCTCTTTCCTCTCCTGCCTCTGCCTTGTGAAGACACAATGAAAAGGCAGCCATCCACAAGTCAGGAAGAGAGCCTTCACCAGAACTTGACCATGCTGGCACCTGATCTCAGACTTCCAGCCTTCAGAACTGTCAGAAAGTAAATTTCTGTTGTTTAAACCACCCAGTCTATGGTATTTTGTTATGGCAGGCTGAGCGACCAATACACTGTAGTACATCCATACAATGGAATATTAGTGCTTTAAAAAAAAAAAAAAAGAGCTACCAAGCCATGAAAAATCGTAGACAGATCTTAAATTCATGTTGTTAAGTGGAAAAAGCTACCTACTGAACAATTCCAACTACATGACATTCTGAAAAAGGCAAAACTAGATAGATAGTGAAAAGATCAGTGGTTGCTTAGGGCCCAGGAGGAGAGAGGGAGAGATGACTAGGTGCAGCACAGGGGATTTTTTAGATACATGAAACTATTCTGTCGGATACTGTACATACATGATATTAGATATTCGTCAAAACCCACAAAATGTACAACACAGAAGGAATCTTAAACTATGGATTTTAGTTAATCATACTGGATCAATACTGGCTCATCAACTGTAACAAATTCACTACATTAATGCAAGATGTTACCAATATGGAAAGTGGCGGGGGGGGGGTGTAAATAGAATTCTATGTACTATCTGCTCAATTATTCTGTAAATCTAAAGCTTTACTAAAAAGAAAGCCTATTAAATATTAAAAATAATTATGTGAAATCCAGGGGGCGCCTGGCTGGCTCAGTCAGTACAGCATGCGACTCTTGGATCTCAGGGTTGTGAGTTCGAGCCCCACGTTGTGTGTGTAGAGATTACTTAAAAATAACTAAAAAATCTTAAAACAAAATAAAATAAAGTAATTATGTGAAATTCAGATTTCAGTGTCCATAAACAAAGCTGTATGGGAACACAGCCACACTCATTTACATGTTCAGTTTACGTTGCCTATGGGCCTATGGCTGCTTCTGCACTCTAACAGCAGAGTTGAGTAGTTGCAACAGAGACCACAGGACCACATAGCCTAAAATACTTACTATCTGGACCTTCACAGAAAATGTTTGTAGACCACAGCTCTAAATTTCATTACCCAAGTTAAAGGGAAAAAGCACATCCCACCATAGGCTGTTCTGAGCTAATCACTTTATTTAATTACTCAAAGTTGTTAGAATGACAAGTACTAATTACATAATCTGAATTTTTAAATATCACTGGCCACCTTCTAATATTAAAAAAAAAATTTAAATAAATCAGTGAAGTCTTTGGATACTCAAAATGGCAACTCCCAGAAAAAGAAGCCATATTCTACTGAAAAACAGTAGCAAAAAAGTAGCGTTTCACTTTAGCGCCTGCAAAATCTATCCTGCTTACTGAACACCTAACGAGTCAGAATTAAAGTGAACTAAGAGAAGATTGTTAACAGTTTGAAAAGAGAAGCCTGGAAAACAATAGGAAATGGGCACGTTCAGGGAGGGGCAGGGCAGGATACCTGAGTTAAGTCAGTGAAACAACTACAAAGAACCTAATGCTCTGTTAAAGAACATTAGGACTACGCCTCAATTTATCAGATTAATCAGGAAAATGCAGCCTGAGTATCAGAAGACAAAATAATGCTTTGAGGAAGTGCCCCACAGTTGCAGTTTACGAAATATCATGAAAATGTAACAGTTGACTAGCTGAGAAAAAACCGTAACTACCTGACACTCTAAAGTAGATTTATTAATAACTGGGAGGGGGTGGATCTTGGGAAGAATCAATCTACAGAAATAATTAAGGAAAGCATTATAGGGGCACCTGGGTGGCTCAGTTGGTTAAGTGACGGCCTTCGGCTCAGGTCATGATCCTGGAGTCCTGGGATCGAGTCCCACATCGGGCTCCCTGTTCGGTGGGGAGCCTGCTTCTCCCTCTGACCCTCCTCCCCCCTCTCATGCTCTCTCTCTCTCTCTCCTTCTCTCTCTCAAATAAATAAATAAAATCTTTTAAAAAAAGAAAAGAAAAGAAAAGCATTATAGAATAAATGACTAAGAGCAGAGGCTCTGGAGGTAGACAAACCTGGTTCTGATCCCCCTTGTGCCACTCACTAGCTAGAAGATTGAACATTCACTCTCCCTCAGCCTCAGTTTTCTCATCTGTAAATTAACAATAACTCCTAGTGATGTTGGAAGATTAAGAAGATAATGCATGTAAAAGCTTGCAGGACACCTGACACAAATGAAGTGCTCGGTAAATGGTAATTACTATTACCACTACATTTGGCTCAGGATAACATACTTGAAATTGACAGTCTACAGTTTTTCCAGCAACAGCTAGGAAATCCACCAAGGGCTGAAATAAATGTCTCCTGTCATAATTTTAGAGAAGTTCTGTCCTTGAAAAGTCAAATGAGAACTTCAGTTCAGTAAACGGAATTGAGATTGCACTTTGCTACTCAGAATGATGGTCCAAGGGGGAAAGATGAGCATCAGTCTGGGTTCCTCCCCCGCCCCCAATTCCAAAGTGGGTGAATGGCGTAGGCTCAACTACAGGGCCCACTCGACCTATGCAATCCCAAATTCTCACTGAAGCCCAAGACCAGCATTAGTATTAGTCCCGCAACAAAGAGAAAAATAAAAGGTTCCTCTAAACACCTAGATGACGAAGTTTCCCCACTCTGATTCCCACTGCATTCCATTCCACTCTTCCTGACCACAAAACCAAACAAAAATATACGAAGCAAAAAAAAAAAAAAAAAAAAAAATTAGAGCTGTTTCTGGAGGGCAGTCAGGATTACAACAGTTTTTAAGAGTTAGGGCTAGGTAGTCAGGGGCCCAAGGTCAGGTGCTTTGGTTCTCTGCCAAGATGGACATCAGCCTAGATCAACAGTGGCAGCTGCGACACGAAGATCTCTGTATACACTCCCATTCTCTCACACAAACACGGACAGACACACTCCACGGCAATCACCGCCCACATCCCACACTGAGAAAACAGCTTACAGCCTTTTGGGTGGTCACAGCCATCCTGCCCTCTACTTCTTACCGACGCCCTTTTCACCCCCACACAATGATCACCTAGTACTTTCCCAGCGGAAACGCTGAAAAACGGTAATAATTCCAGTCACGCAACATTTTACGCTCGCTGTTGCCAGCGCAGAAACCGACCGGCTCGGCTAGACTCTTCCAGGGAGGACCGCGGACGGAAGCGACAGGCTGGCCCCGGCTCCCGGAGCAGAGTTCGCCCACACCAGTCTCCGCAAGTGCGCGAAGGAGCAAGAACCGCCGGCCGGCGCCGGCACGTTCTCAGCTGCCACTCACCCCAGTCCTCATCGGCTCGGTGAGAGAGGCCCGGGCTAAGAGGGGACTCCATGGTGCCGGCAACGCCAGCCGGCGCCCGCAAGCCCCACGCTCCGGCGGCCTGGAACTCGGCGACTAAGAGCCCGGACGGCGGCGGCAGGAGGACAAAATACCCCCCACCGCCCCGCGGACGGTGGCCGAGTGAAGACAAAGTGCTTCCGCTGCCCGGGGAACTTGCGCAAATCAGCCAAGAGGAGCGTCGGAGACGAGTTCGTTTAAACAAGTCGGCGAGTAACTATTTCCCTGTGGGACTTTTCGGCACTTTCTGTCCCGCTGCTTTAAGGGAAAAAAAGAAAAGAAACACACATAAACACTACTTTGGCTAAGTAAAATGTACTGATAATATTTTTAAAAAAGGAAAAAGGAAAGAAAAAAGTAAAAGCCCTCTCCGAACCTACTGGCTTGTTCCCTGAACATCTTTAATACACAGCGTAACTATCTCAGAACAAAATCAGAGACCAATAAAGTAAATTCGATTTAATTTGCAGAATCACTTGCTATCAATGTAAAAACCTTCCGCAGACACAAGTGTGGGAAAGAAAAACTCAACTATTGTTCCACGTTCGTTAGACCCACGTCTTCGCAGGCACGTGCCTGAGGTAAACACCAGCACTGCGAATCGTACTTCTAGAAAGCCTACTCTTCCTTAAACGAATTTAAACAAGGCAGATACAAAAAATGAACTCCCCGTGCTGAAACGTATCTCCTACGTAATGCGTTTCTAAATCGTAGCACTTCGTAGTGGAAATCCCGGCGAGCTTACCCTATACAAACCTACAATAAATCCCCAATCTTTTTATTGCTAAAATGTAAGATTCCGTTTTGCTTAGAAGAAATTCACATCATGGGGCGCCTGGGTGGCTCAGTCGGTTAAGCGACTGCCTTCGGCTCAGGTCATGATCCCGGGGTCCTGGGATCGAGCCCCGCATCGGGCTCCCTGCTCGGCGGGGAGTCTGCTTCTCCCTCTGACCCTCCTCCCTCTCGTGCTCTCTGTCTCTCATTCTCTCTCGCAAATAAATAAATAAAATCTTTAAAAAAATAAATAAAAATAAAAATAAAAAAAAGAAGAAATTCACATCACGAACTCCAACTGAAAATCTGAACTGAGTCTGACAGAACAGTTTCGAGACCGCTGCTTAACAGAATTTCTTTTCACGGCATTTCAGCGGCGAGGGTGTCAAATCCCCTAAGAACACGTATCCCTTTAGGACCAAGGGGAATCTTTCCCAAGGTTACTAAACCAAACGAAAGCTTCCCAGAATCCACCCAACTCCTCGTGGCTGGAGGGTTGCTGCAGATTGCGTAATCCGCAGTGTTCAGTACAGCTCTGGACCCCAAACCAGAAGAAAAAACAAAACAAAACACGACATGATTGCTTTTGTCATCAGATAACTAACCGGTTTTCATGTACGGCGAAATATATATCACCTCTATTCGTATTCAACTGCAAATTCAAAACTGACAAACTCAAATAAAACCAGCAAGTCTTCTATTCCGCATCCACGAGATACTTTTTCTTTTAATCACCATGACTGAACTCTTGCCAGTTTTTATTTTTTTAATTTTTGGAATTTTAATTTTTATCCCCAAAGTGCAGATAATGAAAAGACATTTGCATACCTATCACCAAAGATGAACAAATATTAACATTTCCCATTTTTGTTTCAGATTTTTCATAATATAAGAAATTAAACATTACAGGTAAAACCGAAGTCTGCTTTTCCCTCTGCTTCATTTCCCTCCCTCCACATAGACTTCTATTACATACATCTAGTGTTGCGTTTTTAAATTTACATAAACATGTCATACTCGTTCTCCAAATCACTTTTTTTTTTCAAATCACTTTTTTTCTTATTCAACATTACTTTTTGAGGATCTACTCATGCTTTAACTGTTACATGGTATTTACTTGAAAATACATATATATATATTTACATATATATCTTACAATTTCTTATTTCCCTACTAATGGACATTTGGATTATTTCAAATTTTTACTGTTAATAGCCTTGTATGAGTCTCTGTGCATATAAGCAAGAATGTCTTTAAGATCTATACTGGGTCATAGAGTAGGAATGTTAAATTTGCCAAATTATACCATTTTACATCCTTGCTAGCAGTGATGAGTTCTTTGCTCCACATTCTCACCAACACTAGATTTGGTCACTTTTACATTTTTTGCCCCTGTGAAGGGTATGACCATAATTTACATTTCCCTGACAATTAAAGAGATGGTGCATCTTTTCGTGTTTATTAAACCTTACTTACTCTTCTGTGAATTGCCTATTCTTACAAAATTTGCCATTGCGGGCGCCTGGGTGGCTCAGATGGTTAAGCATCTGCCTTCGGCTCAGGTCATGATCCCAGGGTCCTGGGATCGAGTCCCACATCGGGCTCCCTGCTCCTTGGGAGCCTGCTTCTCCCTCTGCCTCTCTCTCTCTCTGTCTCTCATGAATAAATAAATAAAAATCTTTAAAAAAAAAAAAAAAAGAAAAAGAATTCCGTATGGAGTTACATATTAAAAAAAAAAAAATTTTGCCATTGCATTTTCTTTCTCTCAATGACACCTACATCTTTAGCTAGCCTACTCTATTCATTTAACAGATATATATGTTGCAAATACCTTCTCCCAAATTGCAATTGTCTTTTGTTTATGGGGTTTTGTCTTTTAGGTTTTAATTTCAATGTAGTCAAATTTACCAATCTCCTGTTTATGATCTGTGCTATTTGTAACTTGCTTAAGAAATCCTTCCCTCTCCTGAGGTCATAGAGATTTTCTTTTTTATTTTCCTTCCATATTTTTATAGAGTTGCTTTTCACATTCTTCCCCCCACTAATCTGGTTATTGCTGGGGTGTAGTAACACTATTGATTTTTATACAGCAATCTTGTATCCAAAAACCTTGCTGAATTCTGTGACTGTAATATTTTGTCTGAATTCTCTAGGATTTTCTACGTAGAAAAACTTGCATGCAAACACTAACATTTTAAAATTTATTTTAACATTGTAACCTTTTTAAAATTAACCTTTAATGTGGAAAATTTCAAACAAACACAAAAGAGAAGCTAATCAATCCTCTTGTCTTAGCACCCGACTTCAACAATTTGCCATTCTTGTTTTATCTACCCACTCTCCCACAACAATTTTATTTTTTGTTTTGGTTTGTTTTTTTTCCCCTGGAGTGTTTTTAAAAAAAATTTTTTTTAAAGATTTTATTTATTTACTTATCGAGAGAGAGAGAGAGAGAGAGCATAAGTAGGGGGAGGGGCAGAGGGAGAGGGAGAATCTCCAGCACACACTGCACTGAGGGTGGAGCCTGACGCAGGGTTGGATCCCATGACCCTGAGATCATGACCTGAGCTGAAATCAAGAGTCAGACACTTAACGGACTGAGCCACCTAGGTACCCCATCCTTTGTTTTAAAGCAAATCCCAGATATCATGTTATTTCAATACTTCAATATGTATCCTGACAAAGCTTTTTTCAATTTAAAAAAAAAAAACTTAACTACAAGGGGCGCCTGGGTGGCTAGTTGGTTAGGTGACTGCCTTCGGCTCAGGTCATGATCCTGGAGTCCCGGGATCGAGTCCCGCATCGGGCTCCCTGCTCGGCAGGGAGTCTGCTTCTCCCTCTGACCCTCCTTCCTCTCATGCTGTCTCTCATTCTAAAAAAAAAAAAAAAAAAAAAAAACTTAACTACAATACTATTATGATACCCACCAACAATAATTCCTTAATATCAGCTAATACCCATTCCACATTCAATTTTCTCCCCAAAATGCCTTTCTACAGTTGGTTTGCTCAAATCAGGATCATCGGGTTGCATTTGGTTCATGGGACAGTCCCCTCTTCCACTTGTCACCCCATGCTGTTTGTTAAAGAATCTGTCGTTTGTCCTGTAGAATTTCCCACTTTGTGATTCTGCTGTTTGTGTCTTCATGGTGACTTGTTCCTGTAAACTGCCAGTTAAATGTAAACTTGATTAGATGGTTTTTGTTTCATTTGTTTTTGCAGGAATACTTCTTAGGAACTTCTTTGCATCATACAAGGAGGCACATAATTTCTAAATACCCCACTTTTACAGATGTCGAGATTTATCAGTGAATTCTGTTTTTTTCCTAAGGCTTAAACCTTTTCCCCTTCTTATTTTATTGCAATAGCCAGGACCTCTAGTACCACACTGAAGGTAGATGCATGAGTATACATCTTTTAACTTGTTCCCAACTTTGAAAGTTTTAAAAAGTTACTATTGATAAGGTTTTCCTGTAGTTTTTTAATGCAAGGAAAATTTCATTTTTCATCAAGAAATTTGCTGTGGTTATTATAGTTTTTATGCACACTCTGGTCATATACTCCTTCCATTCTAGTTACTGTGCTTTTTTTTTTAATGATAAATGTCAAATGTTAATGAATCTTCTTTAATTTATTCATTTGCTTTCAACTTAAACTCTTGGAAGAGAAATGAAACTGGAGAGAGAGTTTTGCCTAGAGACATAAAGGAGGGCCTTGCCTAGACCCACGCTTCAGAGGACTCTACTCTGGCATCTGGCAGTGTCTCTTCCCACAGGGTGAGAATCCATGGTGCCAAGGGGATATGCCCAACCAGAAGACATGCTTCTTCTAGACATGCTTCTCGTGCCCAAATAGCTCCACGCCTGCTTCTAAAGCTTGCTCGGGCCTCCTACTTCCTAAGGGTGAACTGTGCCAATGCTGTATGCCAGGAGCATAGACTAAGCTTAGAAATGCGAGGTGGGAAGTTCACGTATACATATGCACCAGGCGTAAGAACAAACCCAGGGGTGAGGAAAGGGGCCAACTCTGTAGGTTGCTCTGTAGGTTGGGGGCCAACTCTCCCTGCATTGCCATGTTTTGTCAGGGAACTCCATAAAGTCAGAGAATTTTAAACTCAAACCTTGTCTCCCAGGTCTTTATGAAAGGTATTTTTATCAAGAAAAGAGAATAACACATTTTATTTAATAGTTTGGTAGCTTGATTTATAAATTTCAAACACTAAGACAAATAGTATCTGGGCCTCAATTTGCACTCACAGAATTCTGCAAGTGTTGGTGGGGTACCTGACCAGTGAATTTATAACTTGGTTAAAAATTGCATTTCATCAGTGCTATTATA